TTCTCTCCATCCTCCCCCTTCTCACCCCTTGGCAACCACCAGTCTACATCCTTTTTCTGTGGATTTCCCTATTCTGGATACTCCAAATAAATGGAGTCAAATAACATAAGACATTCTATATTTGGCTTCTTTTCAGTTTAGTTTTTCCAGTACTGAGAATTCATCCCAAAGGGCCTTCACACTAAGCCACACTCCCAGCCCTTTTTACTTAATTATTTTGGTTTTTACACAGGATCTTGCTAAATTTCCAGGCTGGCCTTGAACTTGTGATCTTCCTTTGTCAGGCTTGTGAGTAGCTGGGGTTAAATGCAAAGAGGTCAATGGAAAGAGTCTATCTACTTTAGGGGCTGGGGATTTAGCTCAGTGGCACAGCGCCTGCCTGGCAAGCGCAAAGTCGTGAGTTTGATTCCCGGTACTGGGAAGAAAAAGAAAAAAGGAGTCTATCTACTTTACAAAGATAAATTTATGCAGTGAGTCTTGATATAAAATTACTGCAGAACTTCAGAACTAAGATGAAAAGGAGCCAGAAACTAAGAGGTCTTGATAGCAGAAATGGAAAGGGTAGGCAGGAGAGGCTGAAGGGCATTATATCAATGCAGAAGAATCAACAAGCCTGCTGGGAAAAATGAATTTAGACTCATGTCTCTCACCTGTACTAAAACCCAATCACAATGGATCAAAGATCTAGATCTTAAAACAGAAACAATGAATCTGCTGGAAGATAAAATAGATAAAACTCTTGAAGACATAGGCAACTGCAAGGACTTTCTGAGCAGAGCCCCACTTGCCCTAGAAATAACACCAAGATTCAACAACTAAGAGTGTATCAAATTTAAAAGCAAAAGAAAACGACCAACAAAGTAAAGAAACAATCTACAGAATAGAAAAAAGGTTTGCCAGCTAATTCTCAGATAGAGGACTAATATCTAGAATACATACAAAGAACTAAAAAAAACCAATCAGACCACTCAAATTAAAAAAAAAAAAAATCAAAAAGTGGGGAATTGAAATAAACACATCTCAAAAGAAGTACAAATAGTCAATAAGTACATAAAAAATTTTTCAGCATCTTTGACCACTAGAGAAATACAAAGCAAAACAACAGATTTCATCTTAATCCAGAAAGAATGCTACCATCAAGAGCTTAAAAAAAAAAAATGCTGGCGAAGTTGTGGGGAAAAAGGAACCGTTTGGAAATCATTATGGAGATTACTAAAAAAAAAAAAATCTAAACATAGCCAGGCATGGTGGTGCATGCCTGTTGTCCCACCACTCAGGAAGCTGAGGCAAGACAATTGCTGGAGGTTTGAGGACAGCTTAAATACATAGCAAGACTGCCCCCACCCCCCCCAAAAATCCCTAAAAATAGAAATTCCATTTGACTCAGCTATACCTCTCTTGGGCATCTTCTTGAAAGAGTTAAAGACAACATATTACTATGATCCAAACAGGGGGCTGGGGATTTAGCTCAGCAGCAAAAGCGCCTGCCTGGCAAGCACAAGGTCGTGAGTTCGACTCCTAGTACTGGAAGAAAAACGAAAAACAAATAAATAAATAAATAAATAAATAAATAATCCAAACATACCCATGTTTAACACAACGCATAATAGCTATATATCAGAAGTAGCCTATACACTCCTCAGTGGATGAACAAATAAAAGAAAACGTGGTATATATACACAATGGAGTACTACTCTGCTGTAAAGAATGTGAGTCACTTGTAGGAAAATGGGAGCATTTTGAGACTAGAATGGTAAATAAAAATCACAGCTATATATCACATGGCTTCTCTTATATGGAAAACTCAAATATAAATAATTCAAAGAACAAAATAAAAGATAGGTGATAAGAAACAGGAAGGTAAAGCCAGGTATGGTGGTGCACTCCTGTAATCCCAGCACTCGGGAGGCTAAGGCAGGAGGATCACACCATGAGTTCAAAAAAAGGAAAAGGAAAACAGAAACAGGGAGGTAGACTTTGTGGAGATGGGCAGAGGATATGAGGAAGGGGTTAGAAGGGAGGGGAAGGGAAAGTAAAAATGATTAAGGTATGATATATATGTACCATTTCTCCAAGTGAATGCAATTATGATGTACTGTAAACATCCACCAATAAAAAAAGAAACTGTAAAAAGAGAAACAACAAGCTTTTGCAACTAACATGAGAATAGGGGAAAAGTCAGAACAACGATGGCAAGGGGAAAAACACATCAGAAGGAAGTCTTGAGTTATTTGTCTTGAGAGGAATATAATTAGTTTTATACTTCAAAAATAGGATCTTCAAGTGGTTGAAAATATGACACCAGAGTTATAGAGAGGGATCTGTATTTGATAAACACGGGAAAACGAAGTTTTCATTAAATAGCAGGCTGTGATGTCTTGAGAACAAATAACATTGCTAACAAAAGAAGCATTAGTAAAATTAATCTAAACTATACTTAACCCTTGCTATGGTTCATGCAATCCAGTCCCTACTAAAGTGAGTGTTCTGAATTTTAAGTTGTTCAGAGCACTCAAGAGGCAAAGATGTTAGTTAATTCTGTTTTACAGAAGCATCACCATCATCACAGATACTGCTATTCTTAATGTCTTCAAAGAGCTCAAATACCATATAGTCCACACTGTTGCTGAAAAAGACTTACATGTAATTGGTTATTTTTAGACCAGAGGCTAAAAAATGTTTCCAAGAGCCGGGCGTGGTGGCACATGCCTGTAATCCCAGCACTTGGGAGGCTGAGGCAGGAGGATCGTTGCGAGTTCAAGACCAGCCCGGGCTACAAGGTGAGCTCAAGGCCAGCCTGAGCTGCACAGTGAGACCCTGTCTCAAAAAGACAAAAAAAAAAAAAAATGTTTCCAAGGTTATAGAAAATAGGCAGAATTTAAAATTTCAAATTTTCTAATTTTTCAGTTTATTATTCAAATAACAAAATTCCTATTAAATATATACAATGTCCTATCATAAAATACAGTCTCCATCAAGCTAGCATTTTCCCATTTTTCAACCAAAAGTGAGGCACTAAAATGATCATGTCATAAGTAATGTTAGGGCTGGACCTAGAACTTGACTCCTACTATACAGTCAATCCATTCCCTCTTGCCTAACTGTCCACGGGTTCAAGTGTGACACTGTTTTATTGTAAATTTTTGTGTTTTGACAATTTATAAAAATAATTATAGAGCTATTAAACAGACTGTTTTTGCACAACTATTAGTTGTGTTTTTGTACAACTATTTTATGGCAAATTCTCAAGCTCCTGACCTACAAAAGCACTTCCTTATCACAATATAAGAGATCTGAATTTGATTACCATTCCTGGACTCTCACTTCTGGCCTAGGAGATGCACTGCCAAGCACGAAATGAATCCAAGGGAACTCTGAGGAAAATTTCTGCCCACTCAAAAAGCAATCCCTGGCCAGGTGTAGTGGTACATGCCTGTAATCCCAGCACCCAGGAGGCTGAGGCAGGAGGATCATTGTGAGTTTGAGGCCAGCCTGGGCTAAGATCCTGTCTCAAAAAAAAAAAAAAAAAAAGCAATCCCAGCTGAGTGTAGTGTCACACACCTGCGATCCCAGCACTCGGGGGTCAGGGGGTTGGGGCAGGAGTATCACTATGTATTTGAGGCCAACTTGGTCTACACAGTGAGTTGAAGACTAGCCTGAATGGACCAGAGATACAGCTCAGTGGCACAGCATTAGCCTGGCAAGCGCAAGGTCCTAAGTTCAATTCCCAGTACAAAAAAAAAAAAAAAAAAAAAAAAAAAAGAAAAGACTGAACTACACAACGAAACCCTATCTCAAGAAAACAAAACAAAACCCCAAAAATCCCTAAGCCAGCCATTGTATTGGACCTACAGTTCCAGTTATGTGGGAGTCTAAGGCTGGAAGATCACGTCAGCTCAGGAGTTTGGGGCTTGCCGAGCAAAATACCGATACCCATCTCAAACACACACACACACAAAATCCTTAGAATAACCAGTAAGAAGTGATGATAGGCTCATTCAAAAAAGACAGTAATTATAAAACAAAACAATGTATGTATACACTCAGAAATCTTCAATCAAACTGTGTCTAGGAAGGACAACTGGACTAAAGAAGAGTAACAATTATGTAACTATCATAAAAAAAAACCAAAATTTTTACTTTTTGGCCAAGGCCAGACAAAATCTCCGAATAGCAGGTAGTAAAAATGCCAAGACTTTCCCTTTAACAAATTTTACTGCCTCACGGTATCTCCTAATATCAAGGACAAGTGCTAGAGTCTTGCTGGTGTTTCCACATTATCAGGGGGCCAGAAATCTAAGCTGCTTCTATAGCAGGTTATCTCAACAAAGTTTGGTGTGTTTGCTTTTCTCATACTGGGATAGTGGCCTCCCACAAATTCTCTCAGAGACAGACACTGGTGAAGAGCTGTGTCTTTCACATAGTGCTATTCTATCGGCAGGAAACAAGGCTAACTGAACTCTAATAGATGATTACAGTCAATGTTTCCAAACGGGGACCGGATACAAACAAAGGCATCTGGGGAGATGGAAAACTAAAACTGGCTGGGAATTAGGTCAACTTTGAGAGTTACTGCTCAACCGTACCAAGGTGGCTGAAAACCTAATGCTTACTCATCCCAAAGCTACCCCTGTCTCCAAATCCCAGGATAAGGACCCAAGGCCCAGAGCTCTAAGACTCAGCTCCACCCTTCAGTTCAACTGGATTACAGTCTGGTTAAAGCAATCTTCTCACCCCAAGTAAGAACCAGGCTGGGGCAAAGCCAGCTCGCGGGCACCGTTCCCCCACTGCATATCCCAACAAAAACCCTAGGGCCGCTGTCACCACCCTGAAGTAGAGCGGATGCCCAGGCTTTAGCTCACTACAGCCGGCATTGTTTACGCTCTTTCGCCACCTTGGCCTCTGATAGGCCAGGAAAGTCCCCATACTGTCCGCCAGGACTTCCGGCATAGGCTCCGCGGCACGGGATGCTCGTCCCTGGCCCGTAGGCTGACACTTACGCTCCCCAGGCAGGGAGAGGTCGGGGCCCTACGGTCGGAGCCCTAAGGTCGGAGCAGGGTCTGCAGGACACCCGGCGGGTAGGAGGGCAGCGGAGGCATTGGTGCGGCAGTAGCGACTGGGAAACGCCTCCTCCGGGGGTGGGGCTGAGAGCACCCTTGTCAGAGTGCCCGCCCCACCCTCACGCCCTTCGTACACTCTGAACCTTAAAGGGGCCCACGCATGCCTTTGCTCAAAGGTCTGCAGGGCTTAGGGCGCTGCCTTATGGGGCTGCCACAGGCTTGCCAAGGCAAGAGACAGATGAAGGCCCAACTAGAAAGACTACTGCGTGGTAACACAAGTAATGTGCCAGAGACAAAGAGATGTGACCAGCCCCCAATATCACAATCCTAATCCTTACTCCAAAGGTGAAAAAAATTAGTGCATGTAGCAGCCAAACCATCAGGGTAAATATATGAGCCGATTAAAGCTGCGTTTTCAATTAACACCTTGAGCATTTCTTCCAATGGCAACTCAAAGGCCCAAAAAAGAATTCCAGTAGCCTGCTGTGAATTCATACTACCCTCTCACTGACTCCCTTCTATGCAATAGGAGGAAACCTAGGCAATATCAGATAGGTAGGAAGACAACAGGAGATAAAACAGAAGAACCTTCCCTTCTTGTGAGTAAAATGAGACCTTTTGGAATCTGGCCAAGAATTCACTACAAGTCTATGATGAGTAAAGAAATATTACACATGCCTGTAATCCCAGTACTCTGGGACACTGAGGCAGGATTTATTGCAAATTAGAGCCCTGCCCTGGCAATTGAGTGACTTAGCAAGACTCTGTCTCAAAATAAAATATTAAAAAAGGGCTGAGGATGTAGCTTTGTGCAAAGGCCCTGGGATCAGTCCCCAGTTACCACCACCACCAACAACAACAAAAAAACAAAACAAAACATGGAAATACAACTGTGAGGCACAGCCACCCAATTTCGTATAAAGAATTGAGAAAACTATTGGTGAAACTTCATTAATTTCTCACAAATTGTCTTGATCTTTGAGATTTCAATGTTTTATCAATGAGTTTCATTTTACTTTTCACAGAAGTTTCTACATTTTGTCTATCACATCAAGAACAAAGAGATTTATCTACCTTTTTCTTTTTTGAGACAGGGTTTCAATATGTAGTTCAGGATGGCCTTGAACTCAGTATGTAGCCTAAGCTGGCCTCTAATGAACTAACAGTGATACTCTTGCCTCAGCCTCCCTAGTGCTGGGATTCCAGACAAGAGATTTATCTACTTTTAAAGACTGTATTCATTCCTCCATCTAATTTAGATGAATAAACACATCTCAATAAAGCCTTAGGCCATCATCAAACTAGGACTTTGATAACAATACTTCCTATGTCAGGGCTATTAGGACAATTAAAGTTTACTATTATATTTGTAAAGTGTCTAGATCAATGCTTACAGTCAAGTGCTATATACACACATATACAGTGTTCAACAAACACTGCCTACCTTATCTCCTGCATCCACTTTAAACCTAAAACAAAAATAGCCCCCCTCATGCTAGCTGATTCTACTTCCAGTGTTCCTAGCTATCAGAGAGGCATTAACTAAGGATTACAGAGAGAGATGAGATATTCCCTGAGCTAAGAGCTTTCATTTTTTGTTTTAACTATGGCCTTTTATTTACACATGGATAGGTTTTCTTTTTTAAGAGCTTTTATTTCAAGTCAGGTTTACTGAGATATGACTGTAAAATTCACACGTTTTAGTAGGCAGTTCCGAGTTCTGACACATAGTACCACATTCCCCATCACAACGAAGAATGTCTTAGCTGGGCATGGTGCAGCATACCGGCAATGAGGCAGGAGCATTCCAAGTTCAAGGCTAGCCTGGGCAATTTAGCAAGATCTTTTTTGGTTTTTGTTTTTGTTTTTTTTTAACGGTACTGGGAATCAAATTCACGACCTCCTGCTTGCCAGGCAGGAGCTGTGCCACTGAGCTTTATAAATCTCCAGTCCCTAATTTAGCAAGATCTTGTCTCAAATATTTTGTTTTGTTTTTTGGATTTTTAGTTTGTTTTGAGACAGGGTCTGGCTATGCAGTTCAGGCTGGCCTTAAACTCTGGGTGATCCTCCCGCTTAAACCTCCCAAGTGGTAGGATTATAGGCATATACCACCCAGTAAGTTTACTGAGATATGACTGTAAAATTCACACGTTTTAGTAGTCAGTTCCGAGTTCTGACACATAGTACCATATTCACCATCACAACAAAGAATGTCTTAGCTGGGCATGGTGCAGCATACCTGCAATGAGGCAGGAGCATTCCAAGTTCAAGGCTAGCCTGGGCAATTTAGCAAGATCTTTTTCTGTTTTTGTTTTTACGGTACTGGGAATCAAATCATTTTTTACGGTACTTCGTCTCAAAATTTTAAAACTTAAATTAAATTAAAAAGGAGCACCTTTTTTTTTAATTTTAAAAATAAAAGGAGGAGAATATTAACAGACAGACAACATTTTACAAAATAGCAAAGGAACAGTACAGACAGTATGGAGTTACAAACAGAGTGGTAGGGAATTAACAATGCTTGTTGTATTACATATTGATATCTTCAAAGTGGTTTCTCATGAAAACAGATATAGACATACAAAGCTGACCAACCAAGGACTCACTGACAGTTTCTTTCAGCAAAGAAATACAAGACAGTAGAACAGCCATGTTAACTATCCTGCACATACATACATACATACAAACTTTCTCCTTCTTTCAAAACGGAGCATCTTTATCAGCCTAAAATATTTCATTGTGCCCTTTGCAGTCAACTCTTCTTCTTGCTTCTAGGCAACCACTGACCAGTTGCATATTCCCCTACAGTTTTACCTTTTCCAGTGTTATAGAAACAGCATCATATAAGTAGCTAGTCTTTTGAATCTGGCTTCTTTCACTTAGTATAATACAACCGAGCTCCAGGGCTGTAGGTGGGGCTCATAGTAGAGCATCTGACTAGCATGTGAGGCCTTAGGTTCTATCCCAAGCACAATACCCCAAAATCAAAACCAAAAAACTGAGATCATCTATGCACGTGCATCTAACAGTTGGTTCTGTTTTTATTGCTAAGTATGTAGTATTATTCCACTTTATGATGATGTAAATACATGTTGTTCATTAATATATGGATTATTCCCATTTTTTAGCAATTATGAAAAAATTGCTATCATCCTTCTCTTGCAGATCCCACCCACCCAGTGGTACTGAGAATTGAAGCCAGGACCTTTGCACTAAGCTACATCCCTGGGTTTTTTTTCTTTTCTTCCCTGTTGCTTCTTTTTTTTTAAGACAAGTTCTCACTAAGTTGCTAAATTGTCCTGACATGGCTTGAACTTATGATCCTCCTGCCTCAGCCTCCCACAGTGCTAGGATTACAGGTATGTGCCACCATGCCCAGATGACACAGGTTTTTGTATGAACATAAACTTTTATTTATTTATTTTGGACAAATACCCAGGAGTGGGAATGCTAGGTAATATGGTAAGTGCATATTTAATTTTACAAGTAAATGCCCAACTATTTCCAAATATGAACTATTTTGCACCCCCTATGCTCTCCAGCAATTGAGAGTTCAAATGTAAGCAGATTATAAAATCTCCAGTATGTACCTATATTTTTATTATTGAAAGCCAGTTCGTTATGCAGTTTAGCATTAATCATTTATAATGGGGTCTTCTATTTTCAAAGCAGCAATTTATCACTTAGTATTCATCTTTTATTCTACTTTACAACACTTTCAAAGTAAAGTACCAAGAAGAATTACTCTTTCAAGTAACATCCATGAGTAGTCAAATCTGGTCATTTTGTCTGGATCAACAACCTACATGGATCAATAAAATGTATTTTTAGTAAGTAGAATAAACCAAAACATGCATGCTATATATATTTAGTCAGTTTTGTTCTTCAAAATTCAGATGAGTTTTTCCATAGCCTAAGTGAAACCTCTTTGTATGATGCTTACAAGAAAATTTAAATTTATAATTAGCATGCCCCATATTATATACGTATACATCCACATCCATATACCAAAAAGCTTTAAGAAAAAGGGATTCTGGAATTTTTTTTTAAATTTCTGAATATTGTCAGTAATTATGTAAGTTAATACATACATTTTGGAAAATATCATATTAACAACCCATTCTTTTTTTGGAGGGGGACAGGGTCTTGCTATCTATCTAGTTTAGGCTGGCCTTGAATTCACTATGTATCCCAGGGTGGCCTCGAACACATGGACATCCTCCTGCCTCAGCTTCCTGAGTCCTGGGATTACTGGTATGTGCCACAATGCCTGGCTCAACAACTCATTTTTAATAGAACTGAAAACACGTCCACACAAAAATTTGTATGTATCATATCACAGCGATATATGTGCACCTATGTTCATAGCAGCACAATTTGTAATTGCTAAATTCTGGAAGCAACCCAAATGTCCATCCACCGAGGATTGGATAAGAAAATTATGGTACTTTTATATAATGGAATATTACTCAGCTGTAAAGAAAGATAAACTCGAGGCCTTTATATTTAAATGGTCACAACTAGAGACCATACTTCTAAGTGAAATAAATCAGACCTGCGTGTGCAAGCACTGCATTGTCTCACTAGGGTAAAACCTGAAAGAGTTAATTTAAACTAGGAGGTATGATAGACATCGTGAAATGATAGGAAAATGCTCAAGGGTAAAGGGCAACTGGGATGAGGGAAAGAAGGGAAAGAAGGAGAAATTTTGTATGTATGTATATACAGGATAGATAACATGGTTGTTCTTCTATCTGCTGTTTCTATGCTGAAAGAAACTGTCAATGAGTCTTTGGTTGACCAGTATTGCATGTCTATATCTGTTTTCATGAGAAGCCACTTTGAAGATATCAATATGTAATACAACCACCATTGTTAATTCCCTACCACTTTGTTTGTAACTCTGTATTGTCTGTATTGTGCTTGTGATATGTTGTAAAATGTTGTATGTCTGTTAATGTTTCCCTCCTTTTATCCTTAAAATAAAAAAAAAAAAAAAAAGAAAATTGTGGTACTTTTATATAATGGAATATTATTCAGCTGTAAAGAAAGATAA